TACTCTTCGCTTCCTGACTGCATGCTATTATAATAATTGTTCAAAATGACGACCTCCATTTCCAATACATGCTCTCCTTCTTCTGAGCATGGAATTTTTAACGTTTTGCAGCAATTCTTCGTTGTTTTTCCCGAATCCCTCAAATGCTGAACCATACTTACAAAGGTTCGAGCATTAGGGATTTGTCTATTCGGATACTCTTCGGAATAAAGTCTCCGAGCTTCTACAGCGCTTTCCCCTGCCAGAAAGTACCTATGCTCTTAGCATATCCACCTTCTCCGGATTTGTATACTCCATCGCGATTTGCCTATACCGATACCGATTACCGACACAAAAATATGCACTAACAAACATTTCACAACACTTTAAACACAATCTCCGGTCACTTTCTCGAATTTTAAAAGCTCGATATTATTAGAAATTAGATCGATTTCTAATAGTGCACATGCTTTGTGTACATGCGATTAATAATGTCGTTAGTCGTCAATATAATACAGGAATCTGTAATTTTCTCCCCACCGCCCATTTCATTGGAAAAAACGGCGGCAAGTTTTCTGCTTTTGAAATTACGATCGATGGCATTTTACTGTGTAAAAGTGGATGGTAAATGGCATCGATCGTAATTTCTCAGGCAATTTAACGTCTTAGCAGGTATACTCATTTTTTTATCAAAAGAGCTTTATAGAAAAAAAAATAACTGAACATGTTAGTAGCTTTATTACTAATTAAACTATTCAAAACATGTTCTGATATTACTAAAAAAAATTAACTAAAAAATATAGCAAATTTTCTAGTTTGACGACGTTATAATTAACAATAGGCAAATGGAAAAAATTATCTAACTACATATTAGAGACATAATTCCATACCTAGAAATACCGTATGGTCGAAAAAAACGGCGTCCAGAATGGCTTGAAAATAACGGTCGGTGACATTCTCCATAAAATTTTACACATAAATTGACAGCGATCTTTATTTCATAGCCATCGCTGACGCCGTTTTTGTTTCACGACCATATTGTATTTCCCATTAATCGCATGGTGGCAATACTAATTTATATTTAAAGAGATATATCTAAATGTGTATAAACTAGGTATTTTATTAGCAATCATATTTAAGCTATTATGACTCATATCATATTCTAATTATTTGAAATTTAAACATAATTATATTCCGGCCTCGTCTCATAAATAATAGTTTGTAGTACCTTCGGATTAATCCGAACCGATCACTATTTTAAAGCTGAAAAAGCAAAAACAGCCCCGCCGCACTGCTCCATATTCAGTCTTCTTTTTAGTGCGGACCGATACGTTTTGATGTTTTTCGGAGTGCGGAAAACACAGTGGAAGTGCCGAATCCTTCAAGAAAAAGACATAGGGAGAGGAGTCGTAGTGGGTCTGCGACTCATAACGATATAACAATTGATATATAATGAGAGAGATTCTTGTTCACAGGAATAACTAAATAAAAATAAGGATAAAAGTCGGAAACTAGAAATCAGTATACCTGGGGTGGTATAATGTTAATACAATATTTATCTACACAGTATTCCTCACAATAGTTATCTAGGGTGATAATTATCACAACTTGACAGAGTGCTATGTTTCGCCTAGGGTGGACGATTGTACGGGTATTCTTTCTGCCTAGGGTGGCAGACACAAATTTTCTTTGGAAGAATAGACATTATACCTAGTGTGGTCTAATGTTAATACAATGTACATCTGTATAGTATCCTGTAACAATATTTATCTAGGGTGATGGGTATCACAACTTGACAGACTAAGATGTTTTGCTTAGGGTAGCAGAATGTTAGCTGTTCTTATGTATAAAAGTATATATAGAAAATCATTATACCTAGGGTGGTATAATGTTAATACAATGTATATTTGGTAATATTTATATCTATACAGTGTCCTGTCACAATATTTATCTAGGGTGATAAGTGTCACCTTCATAACTTGACAGCGTAATATGTTTTGCTTAAGGTGGCAAAATATTAACAATTCTTATATATAAGAATATATGTGGAAAATCATTATACCTAGGGTGGTGTAGTGTTAATGCAAGATATATTTATACAGTATCCTGTCACAATATTTATCTAGGGTGATAAATATCATAACTTTACATAATTATATGTTTTGCTTAGGGTAGCAAATAGCAAGTCTTATACAGGGTGTCTCAGAAATAAGTGCAGATATTTTAAGGGGTGGTAGATCTGGTCAAAAGAAACATATTTTCTCTTTACCATTTTTAAAATAAATTGAAAATAACCGAGTTACTTAACTTTGAAAGTTTAAAAAAAAAATTGCGACATTTTGAGAGCCGCCGGGGAATCTCGCGGATCCCCGGCGCGGGGGAGAGATCTCGCGGATCTCGGCTTGTTCGCCGCCCGCTGTTGCCACATCGACTAGAAAGACTTAAAAAGTACTTGCAAAATCCTACACCACCCAAGAGATTCTGCAGAGGTGCGTTACTTTTTACCCTTTTTTTAAGTGGGTGATCGCCAGTAGCCCTACTTTCCACATTCCACAAAATAAACTAAAAGAAAAAAAAACTTACCAAACAATAAAAAAAGATATCCCTATCGCAGAGAGATACAACTGCAGAGCTTTCTTTTTTTCCATTTTACCACTCTTAAAATTGCACATAACACTACACTTAATAACATCACTTCACTACAATACTTAACAACACTATGCAAATTTTCAACTGTGGAAATATTGGCTCCCCTATTAATTTTAGAGCTAAATCGTAAATGGTTTTTAAAGATACATTACAAATTTGCATAAGGGGATCCGATATCTCGACAGTTCAAAATTTGCATGGGATATCCTATATTTCCAACGATGATGCACCACCCGGTATACCCTTCGCTTCTTGACTGCATGCTATTATAATAATTGTTCAAAATGACGACCTCCATTTCCAATAGATGCTCTCCTTCTTCTGAGCATGGAATTTTTAACGTTTTGCAGCAATTCTTCGTTGCTTTTCCGAATCCCTCAAATGCTGAACCATACTTACAAAGGTTCGAGCATTAGGGATTTGTCTATTCGGGTACTCTTCGGAATAAAGTCTCCGAGCTTCTACAGCGCTTTCCCCTGTCAGAAAGTACCTATGCTCTTAGCATATCCACCTTCTCCGGATTTGTATACTCCATCGCGATTTGCCTATACCGATACCGATTACCGACACAGAAATATGCACTAACGAACATTTCACAACATTTTAAACACAACCTCCGATCACTTTCTCGAATTTTAAAAGCTCGATACTATTAGAAATTAGATCGATTTCTAATAGTGTACATGCTTTGTGTACATGCGATTAATAATGTCGTTAGTCGTTAATATAATACAGGAATCTGTAATTTTCTCCCCACCGCCTATTGCATTGGAAAAAACCGCGGCAAGTTTTCTGCTTTTGAAATTACGATCGATGGCATTTTATTGTGTAAAAGTGGATGGTAAATGGCATCGATCGTAATTTCTCAGGCAATTTAACGTCTAAAGCAATCTCAGGCAATTTAACGTCTCAAAAAAATGAGTATACCTGCTAGGTATACTCATTTTTTTATCAAAAAAGCTTTATAGAAAAAAAAATAACTGAACATGTTAGTAGCTTTATTACTAATTAAACTATTCAAAACATGTTCTGATATTACTAAAAAAATTTAAGTAAAAAATATAGCAAATTTTATAGTTTGACGACGTTATAATTAACAATAGGCAAATGGAAAAAATTACCTAACTACATATTAGAGACATAATTCCATACCTAGAAATACCGTATGGTCGAAAAAAACGGCGTCCAGAATGGCTTGAAAATAACGGTCGGTGTCATTCTCCATAAAATTTTACACAAAATTGACAGCGATCTTTGTTCATAGCCATCGCTGACCCCGTTTTTCACGACCATGTGTATTTTCCATTAATCACATGGTAGCAATACTAATTTATATTTAAAGAGATATATCTAAATGTGTATAAACTAGGTATTTTATTAGCAATCATATTTAAGCTATTATGACTCATATCATATTCTAATTATTTGAAACTTGAAACATAATATTTGCTCCTATTATTATATTCATGTAACTAAATTTTCTAATATTAATAACTCTCTGATAATAAAACACAAAATTAGTGTGTTTGAAAAAGTAAAAAAACATAATTACTGTGTATTGAATTTATTGTGACAAGCAACCTATTTGAAACACATTTACGTAACTTACAGAATAGTTTAAAAAAGAACTTACACACATGTTTTTTTAGTCTATTTTCTTTATTATATTTGAAAACTACAGTCCCCCTTCCAATACATAAAAACATTTATATTCAAATATACTCTAGATTTACTCAATTTTTATATGAAATGAGAATTTGTTCACACATAAACTACTAAAAAAACTACTAAATCCTAAAAATAAAAATGGTTATAACATGCTTTCCAGATATCCATATCCACAATATTCTGTGTAGATATGTTCAATTTTTAATAACCCATTCACTAAATGAGATTGTGAGACAACATACAGGTAGCTGTTTAAAGAATTTTCAATCTTTGTATGTAATAATAGATTTCACATATTATATGCATTACACAATATGCATTACCTGCAATAATAAAAGATATTTTCTTTAAAGTGTATAATTCCAATGACCTCTAAAATCACTTAGATGTCATTGTATAATTCTATCTAACAAACTTCTAATAAAGTATACTCTGACTCTTTGAACATTTGTTACAGCTTCTAATAATTAGGTATATCGATAACTTCCTAAGAAATTTTGTTAGCACTTTTAGTTAGTTTAATAATATATGACTCGATACATTCACCTAGAATAAAATCAATAATATCATTTATGAATAGAAAACTACATGTATAACTTTTTCGTTAACATTTGCAATTTCAGACCAGAACTTCTCTGAAGAGAACTTTCTATCCCATGCATGGGGGGGGAGGAAGAAAGGATAAGTTCGGGGTGGGAAGAGGGGCTGGAGTAGGACTTTGGACCTGGTTTAGGTTACTGGGGTGTGTGAGGATTCTCCTCTTGGTTTGTTTAAGAATATCTTACTCTATAACATAAATTTACAATCTGAATTAATCTAATTAGATCAAATTTTCTTCATAGTATAGAAAAGATCAAAACTGTTTGACTGGTAATCGAGCTATCAATAAGCTGACACTAAAATTTAATGCATAATTAAACGGGATAATTATTTTCATGTAAAACAAAACTTTATACTTAATAAGACCACAGGGAGTACATAATTAATTTTTGATTTAATGTATTGCTTGGTATTTGTAGATCTATTATTGTATTGTGATTACAATTGCCTTCTTCTGCATTGATGCATCCTAATTTAAGATTACTGATTTTCTAATACGTAATTAAAGTGAAATTATTTTTCCTACCATTACATAATTAATTTCTTCCTACCATTAGGTAGATACCTGAAAGGTTAATAAATTAAAAACGAATTTATTAAGACATTTAAACTGTTTACCTCATTTCTCACATATTTTTGACACCAAACATTATAAATAAATCAAAAAATATTCGTATACCAACTGAATTATATGATATTTCATTTTGAATAATAAAAGTACTTTTTTACAGGTTTATTTGGCATTGTTTGCATTGTTTTTTGTTGTTTTCTGTTTTGTTTTTGTGCGAGTTTAATAACCCACGATTAACCTTAAACATAACCTTAAACTACACACCATACTAGGGATGTACGATTCGAATCGATTATTATCAAATCGACGTGATTTTTATCAAACGATTTTTTGGTATAATCGATCTTTTTTTTTAAATCGAAGACCGATTTTATTTATACAGTTTTACAGGTTTATTTATTTGTTAGAATTTAGAATAAGAAAAAACACTTTAGTTTTGCTGGAATATTTGTTTGCAGTGCATCCCTAGTAAAAGGCCATCTAGCAATGAACTGAAAAATTAAGTGTAAGTGCTCGCTGCCGCATGCGCCGATGTTTGTTTATCACTTTGATATCAGGTGTCAGATTTTTGTCGGGGCTTCCCATATTTTTATATTTTAGATAACGTAGAATACTCTTTGATTTTACCTTAATTCTTTCTTGGGTATACCCTTTCTTGTATTTTTAATTTATTTTTGGGATATCCCTACTCCATACATTAAACATTTAGAAAATTGATTTATCTATCTTTAGACAACCACCAAAACGTTGACCCATAATAGTAATACATCAGTCCAGTAGAGGACGCTAAGTCAAAAAATTCCGAAATAAAAATTTGTAATTTGTAATTCCTTTAGTGTTTTCGAAATCGTTGTCGGGGTTGCGTCGGTTTTGAAGAAATGTCGAAGAAAACCCCGGACTGTCTACCATCAGCCGCCGGATATAAGTATTAGTAGTAGTTATTAAAGCAAGTTTTTTAACATTTTTTATTGTATTTATGAGTTTAGTGTTTGATTATTATCATGTGAAAAATTTTAAATAATATTTTAAAAGTGATAGGCATGTGATAGGTTTGTGATGTTCAGTTTAATAGATATTTGGTGTGTATGTGTTTGCGTATATGTGTGCTGGATAAAAACACTTTCATTAAAAGGGTAAGCTCTAACTAAACATTAAATGTTATAATTGTTTATTGAAACGATTGAAAATATTTCCTAATATGGCAAAAAAGAAGCTATAATTGTTAAGATTTATTTTTTCAGTTTACTCCACTGTAAAAAGTATTTAAAATATTGCGCGTTTCTCTAGAATTAGTAGAGCAATCTACACTAATATGAATAAAATTAATTCCGTATTTTTTTTTTTCTGTAGCAGCTTAAACTAATTGAATTTATGAAATAAGCTTACCCAGAATATTGAACATGGTAGGAGGTGGCAACGTTGCATTCTCTCCGACACTCTCATAGGCGTGTTTCTGGGGTTGAACTATACTACCAGTTAAAATATCTGCACTCATTTCTGGGACACCCTGTATATAAAAATATATTAAAATGGGGGATGTTATAGAAAATAAACGTCGAAAATCGAAACAGGAATAGATTTATTCCGCTCGAAACTTGCCGAGGCTTAAATAAACAATAATAATCTCGACTAGCCGAAAAACATATATGAATCAACAAGTATCTTCAAAAACATCACCTGACACGATCGATACAAAACAAATAGAATTACAACAAAAAAAAGGTACCGATATAAAAGGTAGAGCACATACCCAACTATCCTAAAGGTATACATATACGTAATTTATATATGAATCGATATTTTTATTTTCGTTATCAAATATATACAGGGTGTCCCAGAAGCTGAGTGCAGATATTTAAGGTTATGTTCGTATTCGTGGGTTATTAAAATACTTTGGCTCAAAGCAGAAAACTGGTAGTATAGTTCAGCCCCAAAACACGCCTATGAGGTTTTTGCGAAAAAAAATGTTTAGAAAATTTTATATTTTTCTTGACATTTTCCGGAAAATGTTGAAAAACTTTTGAGTGCCACTGTTCACTCCCGGAGGCTTCCTTTACCGGGCATAGAGAGTGTCGGAGAGAATACAGCGTTGCCACCTCCTACCGCTGCCCACATTCTGCATCTATAGAATTCCAGTATTTTAAGCACATTCAGAATTAAAATAAAAATTAATTTTATTAATACAAGTGTAGGTGCTTTGCTAATTCTAGAAATATAATATTTTAAAATACTTTTTACAAATGAGGTAAACAGTTTCAATCGTCTTAATAATTATAACTTTTTTTAATTATTAACTGCTTTAGTTTCCATCTAGCTTTCAAGAAGAAACCTATTTTATAACCACAAATGTTTAATTTAAGAGCGTATTATGAGAAAATAATCTTTTATCCTTGCATATACGCAATGGACACTTACACAAATATCTAATCCTGGCAATATCACAAACCTATCACATGCCTATCACTACATTAAATCAATTATTTAAAATTTTTTACATGAAGTTAATAATCAAACAGCTCATAAATGCAATAAAATGTTAAAAAACTTGCTTTAAAAACTATATATCCGGCGGCTGATGGTATGATCCAGGGTTTTCTTCGACATTTCTTCAAAACGACACAACCCCGACGACGATTTCGAAAACACTGAAGGAATTACAAATTACAAATGGTTTTATTAGTAGAAATTTTTGACTTAGCGTTCTCTACTGGAATTATCCCATTAATATTATGCATCAAATTTTGGTGGTCAGTATAGTGATAGACTAAATTACCATTTCTAACAGTTTTGATGTATTCCTAAACTGATATCCCAAAAAAAATAAATCAGGTACTAGAAAGGCCACATTACCCATGAAAGAATTTAAAATAAAGAATATTCTAAGATATCTAAAACAACAAAAATAGGAAGCCCCACGACTGGCTGACACCTGATATCAAGTGATAAAAGCACGGCGCTTGCCACAACTGACACTTACACTTAATCTTCAGTTCATGCTGGGCATTTTACTCTTCTTTTACAAGGGATGCACTGCAGAGCAAATATTCCAGCGAAACTAAAGTGTTTTCTTATTGTAAATTTCAAATAAATAAATTCTAAAACTGTATAAAATACAGGATCGGTCTTCGATTTAAAAAAAGATCGATTATACCAAAAAATCGTTTGATAAAAATCAACGTCGATTTGATATAAATCGATCTTCGATTAAATCGATTCGAATAGTACATTCCTAGTATGATGTGCTGTAGTTTAAGGTTATGTTTAAGAATATATTCAGAAAAATGATAAAACTAACTAAATTTAACGAGGAATTCCCTGGCCAAGGAGAGGTTAATCTAGATTTATCACCCTAATTAATTAGAGTTGTAACAAATGTTCGAAGGATGGAGTATACTTTAATCGTGATTAGATAAACTTTAAAGAAGTAACTTTTATTAGCATTCAAGTAATAAATGTTGGCTAATTCAGTTGTAAATATCGAATAATCTTTGATTTACATACAATGTTTTGTCAAATTATTTATGACATAGACCAAACAGTTGTAAATGTCTTAATAAATTCGTTTTTAATTTATTAACCTTTCAGGTATCTACCTAATGGTAGGAAGAAATTAATTATGTAATGGTAGGAAAAATAATTTCACTTTAATTATGTATTAGAAAATCAGTAATCTTAAATTAGGATGCATCAATGGAGAAGAAGGCAATTGTAATCACAATACAATAATAGATCTACAAATACCAAGCAATACATTAAATCAAAAATCTCAGTAACACTGTTATTATGTACTCCCTGTGGTCTTATTAAGTTAAAGTTTTTGTTTACAAGAAATAATTATCCCATTTAATAAGCATTAGAATTTTGAGTGTCAGCTTATTAAGCTCGATTACCAGTCAAACAGTTTTGAGTGTTTTCTATGGAAAATTTGATCTGATTAGATTAATTCAGATGTAAACATTATATTATAAATTAAGATATTCTTAAACAAACCAAGAGGCTCACACACCCCAATGCCTAAACCAGGTCCAAGTCTACTCAGCCCCTCTTCCACCCCGAACATCGCTTTCTTCCTCCCCCCCATGCATGGGATGAAAGTTCTCTTCAGACAAGTTCTGGTCAGAAATTGCAAATATTAATGAAAAAGTTATACATGTAGTTCTATTCATAAATGATATTATTGATTTTATTCTAGGTGAATGTATCGAGTCATATATTATGCAGAATATGTTAGAGAAAAATGGTAATAACTAAAGTGCTAATAAAATTTCTTAGGAAATTGTAATTTATACCCTAGGTATTAGAAGTTGTAACAAATGTTCGAAGAGTCAGAGTATACTATTAGAAGTGTGTTAGATAGAGATTATACATAAAGAAAATATCTTTTATTATTGCAGGTGTGCATATTGTGTAATGCATATAAATATGTGCAATCTATTATTACATACAAAAGATTGAAAATTATTTAAACAACTACCTGTAGTGTCTCTGATTTAGTGAATGGGTTATTAAAATTGAACTGTTACACACAGATATTGTGGTTATGGATATCTGGAAAGCATGTTCTTCGAACATTTTTATTTTAGGATTTATGAAATGATTGCATAAATATACTAACAACAAATTGCAATGCATCTGTTTATTAAGAGACAAAGATGAAGAGAGTAACAAGAATATATGTATTCAAAGAAAAATATCAAGACCATTTGCAGTAATTAAAATTAAAGAATAAAATACATAAAATGTGCCATATGATCAGAAAAACGTCCAGTTGGCTGGGAAATGACGATCAAATGACTTCCCATATAAATTTACATATAAAATGACAGCGACCTTCATTTCATAGCCATCGTTGACGCCGTTTTTTCTCGATCATACGGTAATTTATGTGTGAACAATTCTCATTTCATATAAAAATTGGAGCTCTATCTAGAGTATTTGAATATAAATGTTTTTATGATGGAAGGGGGACTGTAGTTTTCAAATATAATAAAGAAAATAGACTAAAAAACATTTGTAGTAATAATTAAAATTAATTGAGCAAAATACATAAAATGTACCATATGATCGAAAAAACGGCGTCAGATTGGCTGGGAAATGACGA